ATTTGACCTGGGATTTTAGCAGTGTTGAGGAAGTAGCAACAATTGAACATGAGAGGAGGAGTCAGATATTTGAGTGTTGAACTATATTCAAGGCACTGTGCAAGGCATCTTGGATCATGTTGAGACCAGCAGGTCTCTGGAACTTAGGTTGGTGAGGAACGCTCAGGGAGTGTTCTCATCCCCATGGGAAGGCTACCTGGGCTATAAGGTTCTCTGAACTCCCCATTCAGAGAGTGAAGAGAAAATGCACACCCAGGTCAGGGAAACCTGCTCTGAAGAGGTGGCCTTTGCATTAGACCTTGAAGGAAGGAGCTGGAGAGATTGGTGTTAGGGGAGACTCAGGAGATGGCCTGGGTGAGCCATCAGACAGCACACGCTGACACCTGGCACCTTGTTGAGTGCTTGCCTGGCATCAGCTCCCAATTCTCTGCTGATCTGTGGAGCTTTGCCTTGTCCCTGTTTCTTCTAGCATGAGTGGAATGTCTGTCTGGTTCTCCAGAACTTGGGACCACAGCATTTTAAATGGTTATTCTGAGGGGTAGGGGGGCAGATGGTGATCCTTTGCCAGTCCTCACCCCTCTGGTGGTGTGTCTTTGGTGAGTGCTATGTGATCCTGGCGGTAAGCTTCTGCGCTGACTGGCTTGGGTCATTGTCACAGTTGAGCTGAGGCTCAGCAGAGGGAACTCCTGGTGATAGACCCAGCAAGGTACAGCCAAATCACTCAAAGGTCCTACTTAGCCCACTCTGGGAGCACTGAGTAAAGGCACTAAAGCTGTGTCCTTTATTCTTGGCGTAAAGGAAAACGTTTGCTTGTTGTGAGTATCTCAGAAGTAGGAATTAAGCAGATCTCCTCCAGTTCTCAAGCAGATCTCATGACAGGAGTCAACCAGGCATCTCGTCCAAATGCCTGGGTTCCTCAAGAATGTTGGCCTCTCTTTGGACTTCAATGGACCATGGGGTGGTTGGAGCTATGGAGGCACCTGTTTAAAGAGAGAAGTTATCTTGAGTTATAAGGTGCTGCGGAAGGGCAGTGGTGTTGGCTGCCCCACACACCCATGGGCCCCATGCTCTTGGCCTACATTATAATCCTGAAGTGCTGTTTCCTGCCAAGCCAAATCTCCCACCAACCCTGGCTCTCAAAATGGAATATATTTGCCATTGTGGTATAGACCAGCACTGTTCAGTAAAGATACGACGTGAACCAGATATGTATTTTAAAAGTTTTAAGTAGCCACACTAAACTGGTGAAATTAATTTTAATACTATTTTATTTAATTCAGTGTATCCAAAAGATTTTATCATGTGGCACTGGCCACCTTTCACATGCTCAGTGGTCACTAATGGCTGGTGGCTACCGTGCTGGACAAGGCAGATCTGGACTAATATACTGGCACTGGGACGATGAAGAGGCTGGTTTGTGATTATACATTTAATTAGGCTTGAGCTGAGTAGCTTGGATTACAGGCATCTGGCTAATTTAAAAAATATTTTTAGTAGAGACAGGGTTTCACCATGTTGGCCAGGCTGGTCTCGAACTCCTGACCTCAGGTGATTCACCTTGGTCTCCCAAAGTGCTGGGATTACAGGCATGAGCCACCATGCCCGGCCGTCTAGATTTTTTTTTTGGAAGGAAATGAACCCAGTTCATCAGTGTCTTGATTAACTGCCTTATTGACCAGATTTCTGCAGTATGATATAATATCAGTCATTGGAAGCATGTGATCTAAAAGTTTTGCCTGGGGAATTTAGTGAGAGATGACTCAGAGGTCACTAATTGTTAGATTTAATACTCGGAGATTTAAAGGGAAAGGATTTCTTGTAAAAAGCAGATGTTTCAGGGTGCCTGCATTGTCAAAGGCAGCCGGAGAGGTTGGTTCAGATCTGCCCTAGTGAGTGTGTGCCAGCTCCTCTGAGCAGCCTGTGGCTCCCGAGCATAAATAGAAACACAGCCGCGTGTGCAGGCTGAATGACAGGAAGTAGGGTACCTCCCTGGTTGCAGCAGAAGGCTCCAGGGTGCTCAGCTCACCCTGGCATGGGGATGGAGGGGCCAGGTGGTCAGGGAGCGGGTAGGAGGACGAGACACACACACTCCCCAACAAAAACGCACACTTGCCTCTAAGCGGCGGTGGGACGGTTGGCAGACTAGGCTCACAGTAGTATTGACTCCCTGTATGACCTAGGCAAGTCACTTTCCTTTCTGGGCCTCTGTCCCCTCATCTGCAAAAAACAGGGAGGCCTGGGTGGGCTTCGGGCTCTGAATCTGGCTGTGGTTGTGTCTCTCAGTTCCTAACTTGCCTGCTGACTCTCCTCTCCCCTCCTGTGGGAATGCTTGTGTGTTCCTTGTCCTGCCCCAGGGCCAGGCTAAGCTCCTGTGTCTACCCTGCAACCAGCCTGCCGCCCAACTCCAGGCTGCAGTTCGTGGATCTCTCAAGCGGGCTCACGGCCTCTGGCCTGAGCTAATCTCCTCCTTCTATGCAAACTGTGCACCTGCCTTCTCCTCACCACCATTTTCACCAGCGGTGCCCTTGTCTAATAATGTCAGTGCCCTGCTAAGTTCCCCATTCCACCTCTTTAGGAAGGCACACAACTCCCAAGGGCCAGGTCCTTGCCACACAGCAGCCTCACCTTACTCCTGCTCTCTGGCTTTTGTACTTTTGTAGACACTCCTCTCTCTCTGGAACCTCTTTTCCTCTGGCCACCGCCTGCTTCCCCCTTTAAGACCAAGCTGCTGTATCGTTTTCTGATTATTCATTCATTCACTTATTCCTTCATGTATGTATTCAGTAAATACTGCCCTACTATGTGCCTGACACAGAGCTAGATGCTAGAGAAATGGAACATCTTGATGTTTGTTTCTTGGAGAAGATAGACAGCAAGCGAATACTTTAGCGCTTTTGACCCTGCACGTGGCAGGTGACCTGAACTTTGAGTACCTCGTCCTTTGCTGCACCTCCCTTCCTTGGCTGTGTGTCCTTCCGCAGTGCTCTCCTGTCATGCCAGCGCCGCCTCACAGGCTCTGCTTTCTGTCGTAGCACTTAATGAAGCATGGAAACTACGGGTTGGTTTTCCCGGCTTTCTCACTAGGCCAGCCCCAGGTCCGGGTACCTCACAGGTGCTCGGCAAATGTTGGTCGAAGGAATGGGTGAAATGGCAGCTTGACTGGAAGAACTTTCTGTAAAATACCCAAAGTTCCTATAATGAAGGCTTTTCTTTATCTGTGGCCAGGTATGCAAGTGTCACTAAAAAAGACCCAGGTTGTAGCCACGGCACCCAGAGGTTTGCTTGTAGGTAGCAGTAGTTTGGTCTAGGCCTGTCTTGCTGTCAGGCCTGCAGAGCCATTTTCTTCACTGCTTCTGATCTCGGGAACCAGTGTGTCTGATGTCTGCACATGTCACTGGATGCCGGTGTCGATGAGATTCCCGTAATTGTGTCACGGCAGCCTTCCTTCATGGGACTCCTTTGCAGGGGCAGCCTGGAGACCGTGACCCATACCTGCAGTCCAGTTCGTTTGTAGTTAGGTTCATTGTTTTGGGTCCCTTCCCTGATCTTGGTTGATTTTTTTTTTTTTTTTTTTTTGGGAGACGGAGTTTCGCTCTTGTTACCCAGGCTGGAGTGCAATGGCGCGATCTCGGCTCACTGCAACGTCCGCCTCCTGGGTTCAAGCAATTCTCCTGCCTCAGCCTCCTGAGTAGCTGGGACTACAGGCACGTGCCACCATGCCCAGCTAATTTTTTGTATTTTTAGTAGAGACGGGGTTTCCCCATGTTGACCAGGATGGTCTCGATCTCTTGACCTCGTGATCCACCCGCCTCGGCCTCTCAAAGTGCTGGGATTACAGGCTTGAGCCACCGCGCCCGGCCTGGTTGATTTTTTTTTTTAATGAGATTCACTCTTTATGTATATCATTCTATGATTTTGGACAAATGCATAGAATCATGACTTTACTACCAGAGCCATGATGCAGAACAGTTCTGTTACCCACAAATTCTCGTGCTGCGCCCTTGTAGGCGGCTGCTCCCCTCCCCGACTAGCCCTGGCAAGCACAAATTTGTTTTTTGTCCTTACAATTTTGCCTTTTCAGGCTGTTACATAAATGGCAGCACACAGTATATAGCCTCTTGGGCCTGGGTTCTTTCACTTAGCAGTATGCATTTAATATTTATCCGTGTGTTAGAATTGATGTGCCCCTTTTTATTGCTAATAGTATTTTATTGTATGGATGTACCACAGTTTTTTTTAAGCCTTTCACCAGATGAAGTTCTCATTTTTTGACAATTATGAATAAAACCTCTATAAACATTCACATACAGATCTTAGTGCAAATACGTTTTCATTCCTCTTGGGTGGCTACATGTAGGGGTGGCTTGCCAGGTCAGTTGGTAAATGTATGTTTAACTTTATAAGAAACTGCTAAGCTGTCTTCTAAAGTAGCTGCACCATGTTGCATTCCACCAGCAGCTTATGCAATTCTAGCTGCCCTGCACCCTTGTCAGCGCTGGACATTGTCAACTTTTTGAAATATTAGCCATTCTAATAGGAGTGCCAGCTAGTTTTAATCTGCGGTTTTCTTTGTATATCCTCAGATGCTGACGGAGCTTAAATACCATTATTTCATGTGATTTGGCAAGGCTGTCGTTTAGACCTATGTAAGATTTTATTTCCGAAGATGGGATTTATAGGTGGTCATAGTGAAGGAGCAGCAGTATTTTCACACCTTCCTAAACTGTTTTGAAGAAAATGTTATACTGCATTATTCTTTAATTTTAGAATTTGAAAAGACTTCTTATTAATTGGGTTCAGTTCTTTATGTTACAATTGCTATTTGCTTGACCAACTTATCATGAGCAAAAGCTACTGATCTTGTAACTGAGATTTTGTTGATCTGTTCATCTTAACTCTCACATGGCAAGGTGAACAGTCTGTACTCATGAGACATACATTTTTTAAGCTCTTCGTCTTACTGGTGCCCATAACGTGTTTTTCCTCCTTTCTCTTTCTAGGCTCCCAATCGCCAACTCATGACTTACTGGTTGCAGGAGCTTCAGCAGAAGAGATGGGAATATTGTAACAGTCTTGACATGGTCAAGTGGGACAGCAGGACCTCTCCAACTCCTGGGGATTTTCCTAAGGGTCTTGTAGCCAGAGATAACACCGGTAAGGCAAAAATAAAGGGGACCTGTGTCAGTTCTTTGTGTAAGCCATTTGATACCACACATTAACTTAGCAGTGAATGAAAATGAATTCAGAAAGACAGTAATGATGATGGACAGCATTCCACAGTTACCCAGAGCCTCTGTGTACGAAGCTTATGCAAGCCCAGTGACGGCCTTGGAATCAGGCAAGGCCCAGTGCCAAGCATATGGAAGACATGATATGACTAAGGTCAGCATGTAGCAAGTGGTGGTGCGGTAAGCCTAGTTCTGACTGTGGGACCAGCCTTTCTACCACTCCCAACGATGAAGTCCTCAGGCCTAAGTAGTCGTGCCTGCACAGACTTGCCAGGGCTGACAGGTGTTTGTATACGCTAGGAAGGTGTTCTCAAAACATTCCACTTGTGATTCTCTAGTGTTTCGTAGGAAGACTTTAACCTTCAGACACTGATTTCATTCTATTCTGGATTCATGGCATTTCTATAACTCACGGTATTCCCTGGCCATTTGCAGTGTAGAGATAACTTCTAGTAAGAACAGGACAACAATTATTTGCTGCTCGTCCCACCCCCCTGCAAAGACTGTGAAGACGATGTAACTGTGGACAGGAGCAGGGCTGCAGGGGCGTTCAGTGACACTTACTGTTTCCCCATTGAATGTGTTTTTTCCGGGTCCTTGGTCTCTCACTCAGCCACGAATGGGGAGGAGACCCAGGCAGCGCAGTGAGATTGTTCAAGTAAATATTGGATTCAAAGAGCTTCGCAGAAAAATGATTTATTAGGCAGAGAGAGAGAGAGAAAGAAAGAGAGAGTGAGCTCCCATGCTGTTGTGGGCAGGCATCCAGGGATGGAGTCTGCACAGGTAAGGGGCAGGGGGACTTTTAATCTGGGACTTCCTCCCGCCCCATTCAAGTTCTTGTCCCATGAGAGGAGTTTCTTCAAACTTCCGCTGGAGTGATTGATCTTTGACTTTGATATACAGCCCCCCCAAGAGCTTTTCATGGGCTTTCTAAACAAAGGAAGCTCACCTGGGCAATCTACCTAGCCTGAGCGCTCGCAAGTTAGACAACTCTAGTTCCTGGATGGGGATGTGAATGAAGACAGGTCGGGCATGTCGCTGGGAAATTTCTGCCTTTGAAACCACGCCCCTTGGGGACTTGGGAAGAGAAGTTAACACAGTCCCTCAATGGGACTCTTTTTTGACCCCCTTCTCCATACAGGGAAAAGAACACATCCAGGAAAAACAAACAGCCTCCTGAGTTCCAAAGTAAGGTCTAAAAGGCCAGGCCATTGAACTAGTGTTTTTGAAAGACCCATGGAGTGCACATTAAAAGGAGTAGACACAGTAAGGACTAGTTCTAACGCTTTCCTAAAGCGATGTTGTCTGCGCTTTGTAAAACCCATGGGACCCTCTGCTCAGCAGAACACAGGGCTGTACCTGAGTTTCCTGTCCCACCAAGGATGGTGTTGGCACATATGGGGCTGATTTCTCCAGAAACAAATGCCTTCTTAGACAAAGTTTTCATCTCCAAATTTGCCAATCTTGTGTTTACTTGTCCTGGTATCTTTCAGCAGGTTAACCCTCTTACCAGTGAGAAATTGCTATATATACTTTGTGTCTATTGATATGTCTTCTATGAGAGTTCTCAAGTCACATTCGTGACTGTCTTAGCCCTCAGGCTATCCCAAGTTCTGAGATTGTGCCTTTATTTTCAACTTTGTGTCTTCTTATGTTTAGTTCAGGGTTGTGTCATTGGTAACTGAGTTGTTTTGAAAGCCACTATTATAGTGCTTTTCATCAGAAGGAGCTCCTAACTGAGTGTCGGAATCACTTGGAACATTTGGAAGCCCTGTGGGAACAGGCAGTGTTCATGAGCATAGCCAGTGTCTTTGGCACCGGAGATGCTCGCTTTGCCTCAGTTCCTGTGTTCTGAGGACACAGAGTGCTGCTTTCTAGCAAAGATTCAGGGATGTTAAACTGAAAGGGGGACAAAGAAGTGGTGCCTAGCCCTATAGTCTCTTTGTCACACCTGCCCTTCCTGCTTCTAAGCCAACATGCCATGGTTGGAGAGCCCGAGAAAACATCTGAAGCCCGTGTTGGTTTCTCTTCCTTTGGTTTGGGGACTCCAGGTGTGGAATTGAGTGCTTGAGTAAATGCCATCTGACATTTACTTATTCAGCCAGGTAGACACTCAAGATGAGCTTGGTCCCTCTCCTCACAGAATTTCTAGTCAAGCAAGGTGGTTTTGCAGAGAAAAAATGAGAGAAATGTGAGGGAAGGATGCATGCTGGTACCATGGGCTGTGAGTGGACTGGGCATAGCTTCTGGCGGTTAGGGTCTCTGTGAGGAAGAGCATCGAAGCCAAGGCCTGGAGGATGGCCAGGAATTAGGTAGAGAGGAGGGGAGCCAGATGAGAGGGCTGGACTGCATGCCTTCCCAGAGCCACAGTCAGGATGGCTGCCGGCTGGAAGCAGTTGTGGGGAGCCAGCTGAACCTGGGGGCACACGTGGGGCCCAGAGCTAGAGCTGGGAGAGCCTTGACAGCTGGCCTTGGGATTTTGGACTTTATCCTAAGAGCAGTGGAGTGCCTCTGAAAATCTTGTAGATAGAAATGACTGCAACTTTAGACTTCTTTTAATTTTTAGATAGCTTCTAAGATCAAATAATGAAACTTTGGGCCCCTGAGCAATATGTGAGAGTATAATAGTTAGGAAGTCAAAAAATCTAAATCAGGAAGTCAAGAAGAAAAGGCTGTATTTTAGCCCCTTTTGTTTTATCATCAGAGATAAAATCTAGTTCAAAGATAAATTGTGTTATGTTATGTGGCAGTGCTCTGTAAAGTTTGTAAAGCCATGCTTGTAGTTATCTGCTCAGCTCAGCCTACTCTAGCAGGAATTGAAGAAGAATGTTTTTATAACTCTGATTTACATTAAAAATAAATTTTTTTCTACTATTGTCTTGTGGTCACCCAATTGTTTGAAACATTTTGATTTGTAGTCTAATGGGTGTCACCCATGAGGACCCTCCTGGCACCTAAAGTCAATGTGGGGAAAGATATGGGGGATTAATGTTTTCCAGTGACAGCTAGTTGTATATCTTGGAAGGCAGCTCTATGTGGTAGAAGAAGGCCTGTGGACCTGAGCCTTGGTGATATTTATTAGTCATCAGACTCTTAAGTAAGTCACTTTTCCTGTAGTACAGGGATGGCAAACTCTGGCTCTGGGAATTGAAGTTTGTTCACCCTCTTTCATGGTGGTTATAAGGATCAAATGGAAACTGCATTGTGAAGTGTATTGAGCCGTATGCATATGTATGTACACATACACACTGTATACATATATATATGAGATGATACCATTTTGAATGGGCTAGCAGTATGTTCAGCTGTAATTAACAGGAAACCTTACTAATAAGGACTAACGCATCAGGAGTAATTGTCTCACATGATAGGCAGTTTGTGGCTGGCATAGCTACTCACTAGTGCCATTGAGGGGCCCAAGCTGTCTCTGACTCTGTTTTCCGTCGCTAGAGTGTATTAGCTTTTCTGCTTAATGCTAGCTGCCCCTGGTGGTGGCACTGACATCAAAAAGGGGGATGCTTTCAAACAAGCCTGTGGCTTACGTAGCATTAGCTGGAACCGTCACATGGCCATTCCTGGCTAGAAGGAGTCTGGGAAGCCAAGTATTTTAGCTGAGCTTACAACCACGATCAAAACCACGGTCTCTAAGTAAGGAAAAGCTGGATTGGATGTCCATTAAGGAGCTGGTACTGTTGTGTAATTGCTTACATTACTTTCTTTTCTAGAATCTATGTTGAGTAAGAGACTTCCCTGTGTGACTGGAACTTGCAGCTTTATTATTAGTTGATATCTGTTCTGTCTGCCTTCTGTAGCCTCTGAAGGCATGCCATGCCTCAAATACCATTCCACATCATCTTCTGTGTTTGAAAAGATAAGGATCTAGTTTCAACACAAACGAATAATTTGCATAAAGATACAATCAGGGGTCTACAAACCTTTATAGCTGTTGAGAATGAGGTAGCTAGAACCCAAAGGGGACACCCATAAGGCTGATAGCCTCATTACAGGATGTGTGTCTAGTACATTCTGTTTACTTTATTCCCCACATAAACTAGTAAGAAAACAAGCCAGGGTTAACAAGGCCCTGCCTTTTTTTTTTTTTTTTCTTTTTTCTTTTTTTTTTTAAAGACTTTTTGAAAGTTCGTGAGTACTAAAGCATTCATGGTCGTAGCAGGCTCAAATGCCCAAGTGCCTGTTTGAGTATGGATGGTATTTCTTGCAGAAAATTGTATTGTGAATACAGTTTGAGGGATGACCACACCTTTCCTCCCCTGGAGCAGCTGCCCCGGGTAGTTGAACCGTTAACACTCTTAACAGCTTGTGTGCGAGGGGATGGCATGCGATGGGTAGCTGCAACTTTCAGTCCACAGGCAGCTTGAGCTGTGCTCTCGATGCAGGGTGTAGAGGGCCGCCAGAAGGAAAGCCATCAGGTGGAATGCAGGCCCCGCGTAGACAGTGCCACAGGAATTACATATCATCTTTTAGTGTCGTGATTCCATACGGAGATCAAGGAAACTGTGCTTTTGTGTCATCCTTGTAAAATGCTGCAGAATGCCATGCGTTTGTGTGAGGTATCAGTCACGGTAGTTACTAGTGTTGTGTCTGAGAGGCAGCATGGAGAGGGCTTGTGGGACCTTGAGCACATCGTGGTTTCCCCATCTGTGAAGCAAGATGCTCTCTGAACCAGGTTCCTTCTGCTTTGAAGGTTCTGTGAAATTGTCAAAGAATGTGACTGTGGGAGCTGGATGGGAGGGAGTTGCTGAGTGGTGTTAGATTGCAGATCTGTCTAGGAGGAGCCTGCTGGAGAGGGTCGGAAAGGAGACTGACTGGACCAGGCTTGGAGTTTGGTGCCAGCAGAGACATCCTCAGCCTAGATTTGGTGGGACTTGATGCAGGTGAGCATAGGGGTTGATGTGGCTGTGAATGGGACGGTGGCTGAGCTAGATGGCAGGAGAACAGGGAGGAGTGGAAAGGAAAGGAGGCAACCCCTGACTCCAGTTCAGGGAGTCTGTCGGAGGCAAGGTGGAGGAGAGAGGGAAGTCAGGAGGGATGATGAGTATAAACCCATTCCAAAAACTGCAGGGGCCTTTGTTGCCTTCTGCCCGATTGTTTCAGCCCACAGAAGGCCTTTCCTCCCATGCCATGTTAGCAAGTTCCTGTCTTTTCTGGATTCATTTGGTCATTTAACCAATATGTATTACATCGCTCCTTTATGCTGGGTGTTATATGCAGCTGTTAGCAAATCAGATAGGGGTTCAGTTCTCACAGATTTGTGTCCTTGGTCGGGGTAGGGGACCGGACACATGCACTGGCCCATCCTGGGGCCTCTCAGGACCCGGTGGCTTGCCGCCTCTCCTTTTTGGTGCTTGGGTGTACGCGGTGCCCTCACTTGGAAGATACTTCTACTCCTCCTGACTGCTCCTTCACAATCTGTATTAAAACTCACATTCATAAATAAATTTTCTTTTTTCAGATGAAGCCCACCCTGTCTTCCTCCACCTCCCAGTGTTGACACCCAGACTTCTGTTTGCTGTGTCCATTGATGCATATGGGGTAACCCTTTCCCAGCGCTCTTTCCTCCTTTCTTGGATGCAGCTGCAGGCCTGGGTTGGGTTTTATGAGAATTCTCCCACTGTACACAGTTCTGTGCTCTGCAGAGGTTGCTGGCAGAGCACCTGGGCCTGACTGAGACAGCAGGAGAGGAGATGGAGACTCACTGAGGCAGTCCAAATGTAGGCAGGAGCCGCCCCTGTGCAGGGAGTCCCATTAGGAGGAGACTTTGAGCATCACGTATTAGAATGCAGCAAGTGGGAAGGGATCTTGGAGACAGGGGAGGCTGAGACTGCCTGGGATCACACTGGATTTAGAGGCGGTGCTGGAATCAGAACTAGGAAATGGGAACAATGCAGTCAGAAACTCCCGCAGAGTTGTCATGTAGGCATTTCAAAATGTTTAAAAAGAACAGAGGTCTAAACACCAAAAACCGTCAGGCACAGACCTTCTTTCCCCACTGTAGCTGTGAGACAAGATATTTCATTGACACCAGTCCAGCCTCTTAAAATCTTTGGGGAAGTGTTGCCATGTCCTAGTTTGTGTTTTCCCTTAATGTCCTCCTTGAGGCGGTTTCCTGCATGCTAATGTTAGGACATGTATTGAGGAGAAGCCAGCAGCTCTGCTTTTAATTAAGTAAATCTCACATGGTCTCTTAAAAACCAAAAAGCAGACAAAAGTAACAGTAACAGCAAAAATGTATTAAGCTGGAGAAGAGCTTCTTTTTCAAATCAGATAATTACTTCTGGAACTTGTCCTCCAACATGTTCCTCCCTGGTCTCCGGTCCCTTTTCTCCGCCCCTCCCCGGGGCCTCTGAGTTCCTCAGGAAGTATTTCCAGTATGGGCTGTGGGTTGCTGCAAGGTTGGGGTTTTCTTGGTAATAGGCACTTTGCCACATGAGCATTTGACAATCCGATTTTGCAGAGGGACCATTCATCACCTTGCTACTAGCCCACACAGGAAGGAGAGGCCGGACTAAGCCTGTAACAGAAATGTGTACACTTTGTTGTGTTTATTTCCTGACTTGGCTTAGAATTGTGATGATGATCATTTAAGACCAGCCTTTGAAGTAAAGGAGTTTGAGCCACACCTGTACCCCATGTGCCCGTAGACTGACACACACAGTCACCAACATTGAGCACACCCCCCACCTCCGAGCACCGTGCCCTTCTCTGGTAGGTGTACTCATCTCTGTCTGCCTTGCAATATTTGTATTCTGCAGAGCAGGAGTCCGGGTTCTGGCCACGGCTCTGGACTCTAGTGTCCTGACAGATGAAGTAGGTAGGGAGACTGGGCTGGATTAGTGGTGTTTGAACTTTTTTTCCTTTGTTTACTGGAACTTCTTTTCCAAATGAAATCTTAAAGGGAACCCCAGAGGAACTGCTGAGGCTGAAGCTGAGCGTGGGACCACCCCCCCCATTCTCTTCTCCCTCTAGAAGTCCCCCAAGCATCTCCTGGAACCCTAAGACCCATCAGAGGAAGGGTCTGGATCCCAAGGACTGAATGTATTTATTCTGTGGTGACTTGGAGCTTGACATGTTACTATTTTACTTATGTCTCTCTCCCGGATGTGTTTTAGTTTACGGGGAAAGCTCTGTCTTGTTGGTGGTTGTGCCCTCCGTGCCTGGTGCTTGATACATGATAGTGAAACCAGGAACTGGCAATCTGTAGTCATTTGTACCTTCTTGCCTCTTGACTCAAGAGGCTGCAGTGAGCTGTGGTCACACCACTGCAGTCCAACCCTCAGTTTGAGACCCAGTCTTAAAAAGAAAAAAAAAAGTGGGTACTCTGTTACCAAGCTTGTAATTCTTCTGTTGCCAGCACACCGTCTTGCTTTTCCTAGTCAGAACCCTACCATAAGCCGTGTGTTGACTCTCCTGGCCAAAGCCTAATTACCCTGATAGATACACAGCAGTTGTTTACTCATGCCACACCCAAGATACTTTCCCAGTGTGTTCTTGAAGCCCTTCCTACACTGACTGTGGTCAGTCAAGTCAGAACCTGCCTACACAGTGTAGGCCCATCATGCGGCATTCAGGACGTTGATTTCCAAGCCCGCGCAGCCCAGCACTCCCTGCTTTCTGTTTTCTTTGCCAGTGCTCAGTGACCTCTACAGAGGCCTGTCCTGTTGACTCTGATTGTGTGCTTATCTGATTAGAAAGGATTACAAGCGTGAGCTACCGCGGCCGGCCTGTAAAAAAATATTTAACGTGGCCGGGTGCAGTGGCTCAAGCCTGTAATCCCAGCACTTTGGGAGGCCGAGGCGGGTGGATCATGAGGTCAAGAGATCAAGACCATCCTGGTCAACATGGTGAAACCCCGTCTCTACCAAAAATACAAAAAATTAGCTGGGCATGGTTGTGCGTGCCTGTAATCCCAGCTACTCAGGAGGCTGAGGCAGGAGAATTGCCTGAACCCAGGAGGCGAAGGTTGCGGTGAGCCGAGATCGCGCCATTGCACTCCAGCCTGGGTAACATGAGCGAAACTCCGTCTCAAAAAAAAAAAAAAAAAAAAAAAAAAACTTAACGTAATTTTTTTTATGGGAAATTTTAAACATATGCAAAGAATAACATAAGATTACCTCCAGGTTTATTGGGTGGTTTCAACAATAATTACCCTCTTGTTTCATTGATAACCGTCTTTGTTATTTTGAAGCAAATAACATGTTACCTGCAAATATTAGGATGTATTTAAGTAACAAAATATTGCTATTTTGAAGTAAATCCTGAACATCATATCATTTCCACCTGAAATATTTTAAACGCTTACATTTTAAAGATGTGTTGCGACATTTCATCATGCTTTAGCATCACTGTTTGCTTGTGAATTTACTGAACTGCTATTCTGTGATGTGCAAACTTGATTTTTTTCAGTGTCACTCCTTACAAGTATTAGCAAATACGTTTGTATTTCTCTCGCTTTCTTAGAGAGAAGGGAGCCTCGTTTAGTCTCATCTGCCCTTTGCTCTTCTTACCTAACAGTTTATCCCAGAAATTGTTTCTTATCAGTACAGGTGACTGGACTTTGATGACGGGTTTATGGTGAGGGTTATTGTTCTGCAATACTGGAGGAAAATTCTAGCCTTTGCTTTCTCTGGGCTAACACCGTTAATATCTGGTGGTTTGAAGCACGTCACAGTCTTACTTTGAGAAACATGGATCTATTTAGATGAAAATGGTTTTAGAACACCAGAGTTACCCACAGATTATGTTTGTAGGTAGTGTACATTAAAAATAGACTATTACTAGGCGGGTGTTGAACAATGAGAACACATGGACACAGGGAGGGGAGCATCACACACTGGGGTCTGTTGGGGGGAAATAGGGGAGCGACAGCGGGGGGGGGGGAGTTGGGGAGAGAGAGCCTGGGGAGAAATGCGAGATATAGGTGATGGGGAGGAAGGCAGCAAATCACACTGCCATGTGTGTACCTATGCAGCAATCTTGCATGTTCTTCACATGTACTCCAAAACCTAAAATGAAAAAAAAAATAGACTATTACATAGTTTAGATTTTTATATCGTATATTGTCAGTGTTTCATATAGGATGTCAAGTTTTGTGTGGAAGCTTTGAGTAACTGACATTTATTTGCCTTTTTTTTTCAGATTTAATTTACCCACACCCAAATGCTTCTGCAGAAAAAGCCAGAAATGTCCTGGCTGTGGAGACTGTGCCTGGAGAGCTGGTGGGAGAACAAGCTGCAAATCAGCCGGCCCCAGGGCATCCAAATTCCATTAATTTTTACTCTTTGAAACAGTGGGGCAATGAGCTCAAGTGAGTCTTTGGAAAGCAGCATATGAAGTTGAAAATGGGTTGTTTCTGATAATGCATGTTGTAATTTTATAAATGAAGTTATGAAACCATCTTACACTTAGGAAGGTCTTTGTCGTTTACATCATGCTTTCCCATAGATCATTGTGGTTTTAGCTTGTATTCCATGCTTATTCTATGTCTGACACTATGCCAAACATTTTCACACTTACGGCTTAATTTAAGTGCTCGACTCTGTGAAGTAGGTCATATGGCTGACATTTTACAGAGACCAAAACTGGCCGAAGGATAATATGTGTCTGAGGTCATAGTTCTTTCAGGTTGCAGAGCTGGGGCTTCTTGTGCCTAGGGCCTAGCCTCCTCTCCAAGACTCTGGGCTGGCCAGGTCCTGTGCTCTGGATTTCCAGTCTCTATTTGTGCATGGGCTAGTGAGAGTAGAGGTGGGTTGGTTTTTGTTTGTTTGGTTTTTATGAGATGGGGTCTTGCTGTGTTGCCCAGGCTGGGCTTGAGTCCTGGGCTCAAGTGATCCTCCTGCCTCAGCCTGTTGAGTAGCTGGGACTACAGGTGCGTGCCACTATGCTCGGCTTATTGTTGTTGTTTTTTTTTCTAAAGAGTTTTATTGAGATACAATTCACACACCATACAATTTACCCATTTAAAATGTACAATTCAATGATTTTTGGTATATTCACAAATTTGTGTTACCATCACCACAATCAATTTTTAAATGTTTTCATCTATCTAAAAATAAATTAAGTACATTAGCAATTCCTTCTCATTTCCCCCAACACCTTCTCATCTACCAACCTGTCAACTGTAGGCAACTCCTAATCAACTTTCTGTCTCTAAGAATTTTTTTTTTTTTTGAGACAAGGTCTTGCTCTGTTACCCAGGCTGGGGTAAAGTTGTGTGATCATAGCTCACTGCAGCCTTCAACTCCTGGGCTCTAGCTATTATCCTACCTCAGCTTCTGGAGTAGCTGGGACTACAGGTGTACACCACCGTGGCCGGTTAATATTTTAATTGTTTTCATAGAGACAAGGGTCTCTCTCTCTTGCACAGACTGGTCTTAACTTCTGGGCTCAAGCAATCCCACCTTGGCTTCCTGAAGTGCTGGGACCACATGAACCACTGCCCCTGTTTTATGAATTTGTTTATTGTGGACATTTCATATAAATGGTACTGTACATACCTTTGTGTCTGGCTTCTTTTACTTAGCATAATATTTTCAAGATTCATCCATGTTGTAGCAAGTATCAGTGCTTCATTTCCTTTCATGGCCAAGTAATATTCCCATATATGAACGTGTCATATTTTGTTTATCCATTAGCTGGCTGTGGTGGTGCATGCCTGTGGTCCCAGCTACTTAGAGGCTGAGGTGGGAAGATTGCTTGAGGCCAGGAAGTCAAGGCTGCAGTGAGCCGAGTTCACACCACTGCACTGCAGCCTGGGTGACAGAGTGAAACCCTGTCTCCAAAAGAAAAAGGAATTAAAAGAGAGAGAGAAAGGTTGTAGTGGCAGTGCATTGTGGCAGACTTGTAAGTTTCTTGCTGTCCTGTAGAGCCCAGGCCAGTGGTCACTATGCAGTTGGCGAACTGAGCTCCATAAGGGGTCCCACTGTTTTTTCAGGATGGGGTTGGGGTGTTCTTAGAAGCTATCCAAGGACACACTGTTTAAGAAAGTAGCTTCTTTGCTGTAACTGCTTTCTTTTTTGTACCCTCGTGGTTGAATTCAGTATGATAAAAGTTACTTTCTGTGTGTTTTTAGTTCTTAAGGCATAGGTTTATATTGAAGCTGAGTGGGATATATAGGTTATATTGGAGCTGAATGGCAGGGGTACTGAGACCTCAGAAGACCAGCACTTGTGAGGGTGATCACTGTAGTGGGCCCTGCCTGCCTTCCTCATCCTGGCTTGTGGCCACAGCCCCACCCTCTTGGTCCTGCTCTTCTCCCATCCATCTGCTTTCTGCTGTTTTCTCTCTTCAGACAGCTCTGATCATGTCATCGCCCTACACCAGAAGCATCGCTAGTTGCCCTCAGCCTGCAGGTGTGGCTCCAAGCTCCTTGGTCTGATATTTGAGGTTCTCACCTTGGTCTGATATTTGAGATTCTCACCTTGGCCTGATATTTGAGATTCTCACCTTGGTCTGATATTTGAGGTTCTCAACGATACGATTTTAGTCTCTTCCTTGGGCAGCTGCTTCCTGGTATTTGCACTTGTGAGCCTCTGTGTTCTGGCCATTCTGTGCCTTCCTTGTCACCCCAGAACCTCTGCTCACCGTGTGCCTGTCTGCTTGGTGTGCCTTGTGTCATCTGATTGAGTCCCAGTCATTTTCCAGCACCCAGGGGAGGGGGAGGGGTCAGCCGGGAGGCACGGTAGGGCTGCCTTCCCTGGGTACCTGCAGCTAGAGAACCACTGGTTTCCTCTGTTTCAAAGTATTGGGCTTCCCAGTGAAGAAAGGGATCTGTGCTCCTAAAAGTGTCAGAAAACCACTGAGAGCCTCCCTTCATTCTAAAAGGTTGAGGCTTAGAGAGGTTGAGTGGCATGCTCAAGATCACATAGCAAGTGTGTGGCTGAGTTGAAACACACACCCAGGTCTCTTGACTGGGGACCCAGTGCTCCTTTCACCTTTCATCATAAGAACACATTTGGGGAACTATTTGTTTGCCAGGTTTTCATACCTAAGGGGTGTCATCTGCCCTCAAAGTGAGATAATGGAATGAGGTGGAAACAGACCTGTAACACTGGGTGCTTTCCATATCCTTGAGCATAGGGTGATGATTGAGTGTCTCCTGCCTAGGAAAGTGAATGCCTGTCACTTCCTGTCACAGCTGACAGATCACGTTCAGGGTGAACATCACTAGGAGTCACCCTCTGTCAGCTGTGCCTTTGCCCTGTAACACAGTGATTACCAGCCAGGCTGCCTGAGTTCACCTTCCAGCTGTGCCATGTCGTAGCTGGATAACTTGGGCAAGTTAATGCTCTGTGCCTCCATTTCTCATTTGTAATATGAGGATAATAATCATACATCATGAGATTGATAGCATGATGATGAGTTCATACATGTAAACTGCTTAGAACAGTGCCTGGCACTTAGGGACTACTAGGTGAGGGTTAGTTGTTGCTGTTGCCGGTGGAGGCACAGCTCATGACAAAGCTGTTTTTCACAGAGGTTTGTGGGACCACTTTCTACAGACACTAGTGCTTATTCATTGGCATGTGAATCTTAAGTGTTTATGGGTTTTGTTTTTCTTTCTTTTTTTTTTTTTTTTTTTTACTTATCAGATGCTTTATGAAGTTTTAAATAAAATGCTTTAGGTGCATAGACAGACTTTAGTGACCCTAAACTAGATTTCCTGTATTTTAAATGAACGGCTCAAAAATTGTGTTTTTTAATGCACTCAAAATGCCACCCAAATTAAAGTATAGTTAAGGCTTAAAAGATAAATGAAGGTTTGTTGATTCTGTTTACCAGTATAGTTGAAACTCTCCTAACTAGCTCCCCTGAGGAACTGACATTTTAAGTTTCCTCAGTAGAGCCATGGTTCTCACTGACTGTATGAGACCAGAGGGCCACTTGAGGGCACCTGCGCCTTTGCTGCCCCCAGCTGAGCTGCAGCCCTACCAAGAATCAGCTGAGTTTGTTCCTCACTGGTTAATGCCTGTTGTACTTATTATTGTAATTATGTAATTTAATGAGATATTTACTAAACCCATGAAGTATGAAAATAAATTGTTCTAAGAAAAATTAAGTTGAATGCTTAGGGCAAATTTGATAAAGGCGAGTCACTAAAAAAATTGCCGGCTGGGTGTGGTGGCTCACGCCTGTAATCCAAGCACTTTGGAGGCCAAGG